GATGCTCTTTTCCCAAATCGCATTAGACCATGGACGTCTTAGGCTTTGGACATGGATGCTCTTTTCCCAAATCGGAGTAGACCATGGACGTCATTAGGCTTTGGGCATGGATGCTCTGTTTCCAAATTACGCAGTTGCCGAACAGAAGTTTCTGAAGCGCGGTAGTTTCTGAAGCGCAGTTACTGAAGCGCGGCAGTTACTGAAGCGCGGTAGTTTCTGAAGCGCAGTTTCTGAAGCGCAGTTTCTGAATAAAGGGTCAGTTTCTGAATCATTGGTTGTTCCGCTTGAGATGCCTGAGACGCTGGAGACGCTTGAGACGCCCGACACGTGGTTCGGCACATACGCACCGGACCCTTGGTTCGGCTCAGGCCGTCGAGACGCAAACTAAGCGTGCTGGAAAAGCTTGAGACGCTAAAAGCGCTTGAGACGCCTGAGACGCTTGAGATGTTGGAGGCGCCGGTTGAGTCTGAGACGCTTTGCTGCACGCTGCTTCCTTGCAGCGTGTGCCGGCCCCCAACCCCCTACAATCTACTCCTTCGCAGCATGCCACTAGATTACAACTTCAACTCATGTCATTTCACACTCACATGAAGCTGAAGAATTATGCATATACAAGAAATGTATACACACATTATGGATTTGCAAACACAGACACCCATCTGAATGTAGTTCACGTCCTTTCGCATCACTTCACATCAAAGTGTGCTACTAGTGACTACATTAAAACGAAGGTGTGACGGAGATATGCCGTTTTAAAGGCTTCTATGCACCACTGCACGTGCTTGACGACTGGTGGCTTCGCTTTGATTTCGCCTTTGTTCTTTCTTAATTGCTCGTTTGTCTGCTTGTTTACCATTTTGCTTGCTTGTTTGCCTGCTTACTGCGGAAGGAACAAGAAGGGCCACCCTTGAAAGCCGTGTCCTATGAAGCAGCGCCAGCCGAAGCTTCACACCCAGGGCAGCGACGACGGCATTCATGACAACCTGCACACGCCAACGAAGAGCAGCAAGGAATCGATGCCCTCCGAAACCTGGGGCGAGCACGGATTCAGCCTCGACATGCATCGGAAGCACTACCTCAACACCAGGACGTGTTGCCACACCAGTCCAAACCAAAGCGGTGTGGCCCTGCAGACCTTTTCGCAGAAGTCCTCCGGCGTGCCCAGGCCTGGCAGACAAGCTGCACGGCTTCGATGGTGCAGGCTGAGCGGCTCCATCATTCACAGTATTTTGCATGTATCCGGCGAGATGTCGGCCAAGCGTCGAAATCCCTGCAAAAGGACATCTTCAAATCTACACATAGATGGCCTCAGCGACAGGCGTAAGCATGAACATACGCGAGTCATGCGAAGGCACCGCTTGGGCTGTGAAATTGCCCTCATGCTCGCCCAGGTCCCTGTGCATGTACAAACAACGGACCTTGCACTTCTGGCAAGTCAGACCAGGCACCTCGTTGAATGTCAGAAGCAAGTCGTGCGCCGACTTGTCATGATTCATGAGGAGCACCGCAATCTTTCCATCGCCGACGGGCTTGTAGAAAAACTGCCATTTGGGTACCCTTCCCCAGTGGGGAACCACGATGCCTTGCAGCAACATGTTGAAGTCCTCAAGCTCCACATGAGATGTGGCTTGTTTGAAGGGGCTCCCGCTATGGCCGACATATGCTTGATTAACAGCGATGATTTCCTTGTTGGAAACAATGTCCCAGACCTCATCCATGATGGTATCGTTGTTGACATCCATGGAAAGCGTCAAGGGCGCAGAAACGATCGCCCAGGCGCTGAAATGGCTCCTGGCTTCCTGGTAGCTGAGGCCGGGGTCACTGGCACCTCCCGGGCCATGCTTGCAGCCAACCTCCAGCATGTCGGGGTATGCCCAGCATCCAGGCCTCAAAGGCAGTTTTGCTAAATCGAGGGTACATTCACTACACTTATACTTATCCGCCTTAGCCGATGCGGAAGGGGAAGCAACTCAGCGACTTACAGCGAGCGCCTGCCTGGATAAGTTCTTCTGGGCCCACTGCACAGTGGTCAGGAGGTTGCCGACCACACTGCCGTACGATGCTCTAACATCTCCAGATGTCCTGAAGAAGTTCCATGGGCACCACGTCTCTGTGGGCACAGTGTTGCCCCAGTGGCAGTTCTCGATCATAACCGCTCGTCCAGTCTTGTTGATGAGGTTTGCCCATTTATCCAGATCGAGCTGGCGGCCACAACCATCCAGCTTTATTCCATCGAAGCCAAAAGTCGTCAAGGCTGCGACATCCTCCTCGTACATGGCATCAATGGCCCGAGATTCGCGGCAAATGCAGTTGTTTCCGTACCAGCCTGCCGACAGGCCCAACTTGTGAGCATGCTCTGTCATCGCTGTCATGTTGGGAAAGCGGGTCAGTTGCACAATAGGCTTGCCCGAATCATCATGGTAGGAGTACTTGTGCCCGGCATGACAGTCTTGCCAATTATCGTCCAAACCAACATCACAGTAGCCCAGATCACAAAGTGAGGTGGGAACTCCATCCACGGAGCGCTTCTTTGAAATCATGCCATCCATGATCTGCTGCATCAGGGTCTGGTTGACGTTTGCCCCGAACAAGTTCCACGAGCGCCATCCCAAAGGCGGAGTCAGACCAAGCCCGTTGTCGATGGCTTGCACCGACCGCGCTGCAGCAAGGAAGAAAAGAAGAGTGTGGAGCATTGCGCAGGGTGTACTGTACGGGGGGCTAGACCTGCGCGTGAGATCAGCTGAGCCAAGGTGACGAAGGCCTTGTGGAATGCGATTTTTTGCAATCGAAACTTCACGGACTTCACAGGGATGAGCCTTGCACTTCGCAGAGGGTCCGAAAGCTGATGCCGCCACACAGGCTACAATCGTCTGCGCGTTCGAGTATGCACCTGCATCTGGTAGAATCATGTACGAGATTGCTTTCATCTGTGCAGATCGCAGGATTTCCGAGGCCATGCTTGCAGACTGCTCTCTTGGGCCAAGGCTTTGCAGTGAGGCGCCGCATCGCCCGGATGCAGGCCGTGTCCTCAGAGTGGTCTGTCGGCAGTCGGCAAGACGCGTTAACAGAAAAAAAGGAAGGAGGAAAGAATGGGAAACAACACGAGGGCCAGGCGATCGAGTCGTCCATAGCATCGTTGAAGGCCTCCTTGGAATTAAAGCTTGTGGCAGCTCGTGTTGAGAAGCAGCCTGCAACCGGGGCTACGGCGTAGACTTGGTGCCGCTCTGCGTCCAAGACTTGCTCCTGCAGCTCACAGGTCAGTTTCTGTCCGGTGCCTCCATGCATCGCTGCACAGAAATTTCTGCAGCACCTCACCCTCACGACAAGGTCCAAACAGTTCGGCGCCCTTCGGGCAGCCAGAGGTTAACTGCAAGCCATGGCTTCGCCATTTTCGGACCGAAGAGTGCTGCAAAATTGCGGGTTTCTTTGTAAACCATCGTGATCCTAACATCTGCGAAAGAAAAACGCCCTTGCACCACTCAGCACGGGCATGCGCTTGTAAGCCCGGGATCATGGCCCCAAAGAAAAAACACCCGCGACTACCTTCTTTTAGGTCGGTCAACCAACATTAATACGGCGTTCAGCTGTGCCTCAAGCTGTAGTCTTGAGTCCTCGAGGTGACAGCATTGACCGCGGTTAGATGACAAGATTTGACAAGCATGTTTTGTTGGAATCGGCTCAGCTCCGCACAACACAACTGCTGCCACTGAAAAAGCTATGACCTCGGAAACTCACATGATGGCTTTTGACTCTGACGGAAACTTGAGAGTATCTGAGCCACCAGCAAACATCAACAAGCCTTCCAGAAGGAAGGACCTGAGGTATTGAGACAAAGCAAAACGGTGCGGCATTGGGGCAAGTGAGGTCGCAGCATCTTCAAGATCTGCTTCGTGGCCCTGACAATGCCATTCGCATGCTTCTCCTCCGAGTGTTGGTAAAATAGTCCAAGACAACAACACAAGGCTCGAACAGCGTCCCCAACTTCAAGATGGTCTCCTCCTGTGCCGCAACGGGCTCGCAGAGCGCCTGCCAAGACATGCCATGACCACCTGACCTAGCCGTCTTCGTATCCAACACAAGCGTCCCAAGTGCCTGCTGCCCTGAAGCTGCCGCGACTGGTGAGACTTTACTCATTGTCGCAGCCTTGGCCGTTCTTTTCGACATACCCTGCAACAGCGACATGCGCTGGCATGAGTCCCCAGCCAATGCTCTCCGACGACAGTGATCCTGCAACTTTTGCGCCTTATAGATTCGCAGGATGCGTGCCAGGAATCATTACTCTCTCTGGACCCTGGAGCTACAAGGACGCAGCAACGACAACCAATACCAGCACCGACAGTAACTGGGCAGCCAACCCACTCCAGTGGCTTCCGTTTCCCTGCCTTCTTGCCCATTGCAACAACGAAGGCAGGGACATTCCCTGAGGCTCAGGATGCATGTCGGCGCCATGACAATCCACAGCTTCGGCTCAGAAGGCTCACAACCAATCGCCATGGGATGTATGCGAATACGTGCTCGACAAGAACCCGGAACTCGGCGTCGCACCACCCAAGTCTGTGCGAGACATGGCAGTTAAGCGCAAAGCACCTCCTCGTCACAACTCGACTGCGACAAGCACCATCCCACGACTCCACTCTTAGCCGGATCCCTTGGCCCTGTTGTCCTGACGTTTTGGCTATGTGAAAGCCAGACAGCAGCGATGTTGCCTCAGCCCACACGTCGCGAAGATGATCTGAGGTCACAGGCCTTCTCGCCAAAATGAGGCGGCAGCGCGTACCCAGCCAGGCTGTGGAGGCCTGGACAGCCGCGAGCCGTTGCCATGGGGCAGCTGCCTTGAGACGCCCGCCTTCCCAGCAAAGCGCACCGGCTCGGCTGCGGTGATTTCATGACAATCGCCTGCCAAACCGGAACTGTGAAGCGGACGAAAGACCACAAGCGCAAGCAAGCTGGCAGCACGCATCCGCCCACCGGATGGTCTGGACAAAGCAAGAAGCGCTCCTGCACCACCTTGGCCATTGGCATGACATCCTACAGTCCTACTGCACCCGGCAGGCTTCAGTGTCAGGGGCCGACATCCCGGCCAGAGACGCCGGCCATTCCAGGGAATCTGGACACGAGCAGAATCAGAAGCTTTTCTGAAAAGTTCAGGACCAGGCAGTTGAAGCCTGCAGTACACGACATCTCCCAAGGCCCGGCTGCGAGACTGAGGAGTTGCCTTGCGCCAAGCCCAGCCGTCACTGAAGGGCGCAACGCTGCCCAGTGCCCCGAAAGGCCTCGCAAAGGAGCTCGTAGGCCTCGAAGCTAGCGCTGTCCTCGGTGCAGCGACACTGACGAGAAGAAGCCTTAAGAGCCTCCTCTCCGCTGTGGCTTTCCGACCCACAGAAGCCGCTCGTCTACGCTGTAGATTGCCCACATCACCGCCTCAAAAACAGTGCGACCCGACGGCTTCTGAGCGTTTAGGAGTTTAGGCAGCCGGACCTCCGGCGGCAGATCGAGGTGCAGATCAATCCTGCCACGGTCAACTCCACTTTGGCCGTCTTTTCTAAGCCTGTAGAGTAACCGGAAGATACGAGTATCCTTTGGCCTACACCACCTGCAGTAGTCTCTCGGGTTGCCGAAAGCAAGTTCTGAAGTTTCGCAGGGAGGTTTGGCCGGCCGTTCACTACGAGTCAGGCTTTGAATGCGCGCCGTTGCCGGGCCTGGAGCAGGTGAAACCACAGGAGCTGCCTGGCACATCGGCCGCCCAAACCTTCAGAGAAAGGGTGATGAAGGAGGGCGCAGATGTGAACTCGAAGCAGGCTCTGCCTTGGCAGAGCTGCTGTCGACCAGAATCTTGATCTGCATACCCGGCATACCCAGACCATCCTGGCTCTTTGCCGTCCTTCAGCTCACGGCCCCCGAAAGCCGAAGCGAGCCTGCTCGCTCGCGAGGCTACAAGCCTCCACGATCTCTGAGAACTCCTGGAACCTGCCGGCATCTCGGAAACAGTGCGGAAGACTGCAGGTCTCTTGTGCTCTGAGCTCCAATCAGAGCTCGCGCATCGCTCTCGAAAGCGCAGGCGGCTTCTCGCAGCGGGTCCTCCGCATGCACAGATCGACGGCTCTGCAGCTCTGCCGTCATCTGATCTCCCCGGAGCTCCCTGGCACTGGCGACCTCGTGACCGGGAGGCTGCTTGGATTGGTTCAAACGTCCAGTTCTTGGAGTTCTTGGCGCTGGACTCTTCCCGACGGCCGACTGAAGCAAGGAGCACCTAACAGTCGACAGCAGTGAGGTCAAGCAAAGCCAGGCAAAACAGCAGGACCCTTGTGGTCGGGCCAGAAGTCCGGCCAAACAGCCTTGTTGAGGTCTCACGAACGGTTACAGACTTGAAGACAACAACAAGACTGTGGCATGGCTGACCTGCGAACTGGTTCCCAGTAAGCAGTCTCGTGTGCTCACCGTCTTTGGCAGCGCCGCCAAATCCTCAGACACGGATGAAACCTCTGCCGGACTCTACCACCGCAGCTGCAAGACTATGACCAGCAGAGCGTCTTGAACACTTAGAAGTTTCTGTTGCGAGGCGTCCTCAAACCTCGCACTGAGATCGAGTCGGCACTTGTAAACCGCACTGGTCCACAGGACTCCTTAGCCCCCTGCGATGGGGCCACAAGCCTCCAGAGACCCACGAGGCAGTGGCACGGTGCCACTGTTGAAGCCATGCCATCCAGACTAGACTTGGCTAATCGGCCAATCTCGCCTTCGAAGGCTAAGCTAAGCTCGGCTTGGCTCGGCTTCTTAAGGGGCCGCCTTCAGCGGCCTTCGCCTTTGACTGCACTTAGAAATTTCTCAAGCAACTTCACCCCAGCTTAGCATAGAGGATTTGGGTGGACAGCCCGATCATCCTCCTAATTCTCATGACTCATTCGTGGACTGTCTAAGCCACAAGGACTCGACACGGATGTGTGAAAAGGCTCCTGCTGCCTTGTGTTGTATGCGAGCATAAAGCCACTCCTGCCAGCGCAGGCCTGCAGCCACCCGCTCTAAGTGGCCCACCTGAGAAAAAACCGCGAGGGTCCCATTTCTGATGTTCGCCGAGTTCGCAACCCAGGTCTGCCGCCAAGCGCTCGTGGGCTTTCTGCTCGACAGGATCCTGCACTGAGTCTGCGTAAACTTTGCGCAGTGAAGCTTAAACTCCTCGGAAGCAGAAATCACAGTTCAACGACAGAGCTTTGCTTGTGTGCTCTCAGAGTGTATTCTGTGTTCGGGTGTTCCTCCAACTGCAGTTCTCGCAACTGCCGGACCTCGAGGCATGTCGGATGTGAGTGTTTACACCTCTCGTCCGCTCGAGAGCTCGGCCAGCGCTGCAGCCGAAGTTCGCCGCTTTTCAGAGAGTATCTTGGAAGGTCGGCGCAGGTCGCTTCGGGAAGACCAGCAACTGCCGGTCAGAGCGTAAGCGCGCGACGATCTGCTCGATCAGGCTATAGCCGACAGCACGGTAAAAGCCTCGGAGGGCCGCGTTGAAAAGGATGAGCGCTCTTCTCACAGAGACACGAATATGGCACAAAAAACCAATGAAGAAGGCAGGAGGACTGACCGACACCGCCATGGCCCGGGCAGTTTCCGTCGCCTCTCACACGCCTCCAGCCCCGGTACCTTCCAACGGCTTGAAGAAAGAGAAAGTGACTTTGGGTTCCCGCCCCCACCCCCGCCGACCCCTCTCGGATCAAGCCGTCCACTTTGGCTCCAAAGCTCTTGTTGAACCTTGCTTAGTGCAAGCATCGAATCCATGGTCACATGATCAGCTGACTTCGGAGGCCCCTGCTTGAATTCATCTTTCAACGTGCCTCTGGAAGCGGGCTCGAACAGCCCCAAAAGTGTTGAGACGTGAATAAGCAGCAGGCTGAGCGCTTCCAGCTTTCCAAGGTTCTGTGGCTGTGCACTAAGAGATCCCTGGCATCATGGCCATGATCAGACTCTCAGCCTCAACCCGTTTCGGATCGGCCTCATCGATGGTGCCACTCCGTGCTAAACACCGTTCAGCACGGACGGGAGCAGGGACCCAGGGCCTTGGACAGGACACGACGGAGACACCAGAGGTTGCGCAGCGTGCGTTTCTCGTGTCTGACGCGGAGGGGCGCCAGGGTGCCCACATGCTCCCATCCTCGGGCGCTTCCGACGAGTCCCGCAAAGAGCCTCATGATAGAAAGTACCGCATCCTTCTTGATAGCTCGGGACACGCACTGCTTGCACTTAAAAGCATTGCTACGTTCAAGATGTTCAAGAGCACATGGAAGCGATTCCCGATAAAACCCTTCGCAAAGCTTCGAGGATGGCTTTGGAGACCCCACAGCTCAGGGCGGAACCACGATTTTGAGAAGCAGCTGATGAAGGCGATGATGGAAGGGCAGTGCTGACAGTCAAGGAAGTGCTGAGAGTCAAGCCGGGACAGCTCGTGCCTGGCCAAAGTCGAACGTCCAGGATCCGGAACGGAGAGACAATTCGGGCTTCCGAAGTAACCTGGAACAAACCCTCTGGGAGGATTCCTTGTCTCTGTGAAGCCAAATTTATTGCGAGACGCTGTTCAAGCCAGTGAGCTTCTGCTCCAAGAGTGCGGCCAGCCTCAAGCGGACTCAAGCATCTCACTCCTCTTTCATTCCGGGCATGCATTGGGAAGTCTCAGATGCTTGCCCGCTCATCCTTGGTGCAAGCTAAAACAACGCGGGAAGGCATCTCTGTAGCACCCTATTATCGTATTCATCTTGTCCCTATCAGTTTTTGGCGAGGAGCAAAGCAGGAGAAGATTCAGCGCATGCAGCTGCGGTCAGCGAGCCAAACGGCAACAGAACGGCAACAGCTGGTCTTGGAGACCTCAACCCTGGCAGCTCACATGCAGGCTGAGCATAAGCGAAACAGGTCGCGCACATTGGGAAACTTCAAATCCAACGTTTGCTCAGTAGGCACCTTGGGTGCGACACATGTACGCATGAAGCTGTGATCATAGAAGATTCATCTCTGAGCCGGGTTCTGCAAGCCACATAAAGATCAGCACACCAATCAAGCCGATGGTGAACACACACGCCTCTGGGACTCGCTGCCACTCGCTTCCTCGCTTCAACCCACATCTCTCGTGTCCTGCACGGCTGCTCCCATGTCTTGCACGGCCAGCGGCCTGAACACTCAGCGAGCAAGCCGCATGAGGCCCGTGACCACTTGACCACCACCAATCTGCTCAGAATCCCCAAACCTCTCGCTGCCAGGGCAGAAGGGCGATCTCACATGCAGAGGGGGAGCAACAGCTCGTGTTACTGTCGTGGGTACTTGTTGATGTTGCTTGTCTCAACTCTAAACCATGCTGGAGTGGGTGTCATCTAAGGCCTGAATTTGCGTGCGCGGGTTGTTCTACTTTGACACTTTCAGTTTTCTACGGCTTAAAAGTCTGCTTGGGAACCTTCGCTACGTGGTACGGTGTGATATGTTATGCCAATCTTTGTGAAAGTCTACTCCTGACATTGCTGACAAGCTCCAAAACTCGGAAACAAACCTTGACAACAAGCAATGCGAGGAGCTGAGGCGGAAAGCTGAACACGAACACAGCTTCAACGGATGTCTCGCGTTGCTGTAAGGGTCTAGGCCGGTGGAGAATCCTTCTCGGGCATCCATTTATGGACTTGCCCAGGCTGTCTACGTCTACGTTCTTCTGCCTACACGTGCACGAGCTTAAACAATTGTGGAAAGTCTGGTTGCCAGGCCAGGCGAATTATCGATGGAGGCTACGAGTAGCTCCGGAACATGCCGCACGTGACAGCACGGTCTTTGGCAATGTTCTCTGTGCATGAGCACAGTGCTTGCGCACTGCGAGCACTGCGAGCTTGCGGCAGAGAGTTTGTGCGTGGGCTTGGGCGACCTGCCCTCAGCTGGTGCCTCCGCCGTATTTCACCCCGCGTGGGCGCAGCCTTCCCAAGCGAAGCACAACGAAAGACTCTTCACACTAACTGTAGATGCCAGGCCTTACGGTAATGTCACCATAGACGTCAATGTTACAACAAAGCCTGTTGGATGTTCAGTCAGCTTGCTTCCATCTGGTAAGAACGGCGGCAGCTCCGCCTGAAGCTGGGTGGATTGGCCGACATGACCGCTGCCTCGTTCACAGATCGGACCTTGGTTCAAAGGGCAGTTGCCACGTGAAGGGACTGCACTATCTCTCCTGAGCTGGGGTCAGTGAGGTTCTCGTCACCCTGCGGCAAACAGGGCGTCTCATCAATGGCCACAAATCCGTAACAGATCCATCATGGCAGGGAGGCCTCCATCACGTCCAGAACACAGGTGCCACAGAGCTGCTGGGCGTTGCAGTTGAAGACAGAGCGAAGATCTTGATAGACCTGACAGTCACGGCAACCGCCGAAAACGAGGACAATGTGCTGAAAAACCCAATGCGGTCCCTCCTGGAAGCCATTCGCGAGAAGCGTCTTGCGCAGGTTGGAGCCAGGCGCACAAGGAACACGCTGGATGGGCCTGGGCAGAAAGAGCAAAGACTTGATTCCCAAGAGGCCGGACTGTTTGCCTCTCTGCAGAAGCAGAGTTGCGAGCTCTCCCTCTTCAAGCACAGTCAAAGTAAAGGGTTGGCCCTCGTTGCCATCCTGTGATTCGGGTATCCATGTAGACTTTACCAAAGGCAACACTCTGCGCACAGCATCCTGCTTGAACCTGAGGCCAATGGTCTTGGCCAACTCATCGACCTGCCGCGCTGCTGTTTGGACTCGACGCCAGAAGGCCCTGGCACCATGCCTCCCCACGCCACATGGTCAGGGTGCATCCGGGTTCGATCTCTGCCAGGTTGATGACGCACCTCGGATATTTAAGGCAGACACTGCAGACCGCTAATCGCTGCAACCTCACCAAGCATCACCAAGCATCTGGCGGGGTATCTGGCTCTTGTGCCGAGTTGTCAAAGACCTGACAGTAAATGCTGAACAGCAAGCACACAAGGCTTTGCACATGTCTTTCTGCTGCAATCTCAAAGCCCCTCACCCAACCCCGCTGGTCCGCCAGGTGCAGGTACGTGATATCATCCTCCAATGCAGACTGGTTTACACGACTTGGATTCAATTCAAGGAAGGACTGTGCACCTCGTACAGCCTAAGAGTAAAAGCGCTCTGCAGTCAGCATCCAAGCTTGCCCAGCTCTCTATGCCGGTGAATGTTCAACTTCGCACAGTGCGATTACCTGTGTCATGGCATGCCTGCACCTCCACCATCTCATCCACCTGCATTTCGATCACATCGTTGGGCGACCATTCTAGAATTACACTGGCGTCGCCTCGAAGACTGCTCCTCGGATCAAGTCTTCGCCCGTTCTCGGGCCGTTGATGTCCGGCTCATCTCGAATCCTGGCGGCCAACAGCACAGAGCTGTGATGCGACAGATGTAGCAACAGCCGGAAGGGCCCGATGCCATAAGGAGTCTCCGTGGTCACCTTGTAAAAGTATCCTGCAGCACAGCACGGGCAGCTGGCACTTCACCTGCCTGTTGCCCTCCTGATCCCGGTTGGCGGCCGGCAGTTGCCCAAATCCGTTCCAAAACCTGTGGCGCTGGAGGCTCACAGAGTCAGTCTGCTGTTGGCAGAGACCTGTGCTGATGGACTGATGGGCCTGCCCAAAAGGCATGCCAACCACGGGATCCTGCAGGCACTATGAGTGAATGAAGGTGTCGGTTCACGATCAAATACTTATTACCTGGTAGCAGCACGCAATGGAACACGTATTGCTGCTAGAAATCGACCGGCTTCGAAATGCTTGAAAACACGGGTCATGCTCATGGAAAAGGCTGGTATGCCAGATGCGCTGGTAGATCGGGCTGCCATCTGAGGTTCTGGGATTCCCCAGTCCTGGTCAATCATCACCAGAACATCGCCTGTGCGAATTCCAGCCTTCGTACCACGGAGGGAGTGGACCAACCATAGCGAACCCGATAGAACTGCCTGCCTGCGCAAGGTTGGTCGCTTCAACCTGGCAAATCCCAAATGCAACCGATTTAACCGGCAGCTGCGAAAGAGAGCAGACCTCATTGGTGAAGCCATTGACTGTGCTAAACCTCATGGTGGCATCGGAGCCTTCGAGCGGAGATTGCACTCTCACTGCGAGGCTCTAATGTTAAGCGAAACTGCTATCCAACACTACTTGCCTCCCACAGAGACCTTACGTCTTGGTGAAGTCTGATGCGCTACACACCACCTTCAAGCCCGCATACCTACCGAGCAGCGGTGCTTCCAAGGGCTGCAATTCGTAGTTAGCTCACACAGAAGTCTCAAGCCGGACGAACCGAACGAGCTTCTAGTAAACTAAACTCTGTCAAAAGCTGAGCCACTCCAGGCAATGCCGTTCACTCCGTCAGGGAATGCTACCTCGGGGGCGCAAACCTCTGAAGACTGGTTGAAGTGTCGAACGAAATCTCTCTCATAGGCATCGGAAAAAGCCCGCTCGCTGCAAATGCGGCTGAGCGTCCGTGTAGAGCTGGGCTGCAAGCCTTGGCTTCGTTAAAGCACAAGGAAAAAAGGGCCCGCTCGCAGCCGCTAGCATGCAACATCGAGCAGGGCATCAAAGCGAGACAGGCCACGCTTGCATACTTCCATCCAGCCATCCATTCATCCACATACATACATACATACCTACCTACCTACCTACCTACCTACCTACCTACCTACCTACCTACCTACATGCACACGCCTACACACACACACACACCTACACAGTTAAGCATACATCTACACATGAGCTCACATACACATCTGCATCTTTCTTCTTGCGAGCGCAGTGAGCTCCCAAAAGAAACTGGTACTGCACAAACATGCGGCTGAAAACAACAGGACCACGTCAACTGTGATGAGATTACCTGGCATAATACCTGGAGAGGCGAAAACCGTGGTGTGCCATCATCTGGAACTAAAGGGGATCTAGCTTTTGAAGAGCCTGTTGCTTGAACACATCTACATCTACATATGCAAACGCATACGTACATACATACATGTACATTCATACCGACCTACCTACCTACCTACCTACCTACCTACCTACCTGCCTGCCTGCCTACCTACCTACCTACCTACCTACCTACCTACCTACCTACCTACCTGCAGGCATACAAACGTACATCCGTGAGCGCGTCCTCTAAGTTGGTACATGCCTTGCAGCATCTAGAATCAGAGCGCAAGACAAGCTCGAACTTTTGGAGTTGGTCCATTCTACCGATAGACGAGAGAGGATAGGATCATCGAGAGCCCTTCCCCGTTCGCGAAGCACCGCTCCGACTAAACAACTGCCCAAGCAGCTCCACAAGTTCGACTCGTTCGCCATCAACCTCGGTCCTGGCATTGGACATCCCTAAACTGCGAGATGAAAAACAGAAACCAGGACGAAGCAGGACGGCGAGACCAGTCAAAGACCCAGCCCCTTCCATCGAGCAGCTCGAAGTAGCGCCGTCCGGCACGGCGAATCTTGCAACAGCCAAAGGCCAAAGGCAACAGCAGAAGCCCGCGAAATTTCTAAGTTCTGCTGCTTAGGCCTAGGACTCACTGCACGTCGCATGGCACGTGGCACAACTACTGCAATGCGTCTGACATAACGTATGGTCCTCGAGGTCACGAAATGTTTCAGAATAATGATCAAATACCCAACAGCCTCTTTCTTGATCTCGAAGCATTCACCAGGGAGAAGATCTTCTCCGGTGCGTTTCGCTCCGATGTTGGGCTCTTTTCGGACACCTGGTCACTCGCCCGACGTGCCGGAATCATTGCTGACAGATCAAGCACGTTTGCCAGAAGTCGCCTATTCCCAAATCGTAGACTACACGGTAACACCTCGGCACCGTGTGGGTGTAAACGTCTCACAGTTTCAGTCTTGCCTCAAACAGCGCACAAACAAACCAGGGCTGTTGCCGGCCATCACCTGGATAGACTTCCTGCGAACAACACACTCAAAGATGGGAGACCAGCTGTTGGAATGGTGTAGATGTAGATAATGCAACATTGAACATGACCGCACAAACACTTGCAAAAATGGGAAGCGCAGACACACGACTGTGGTCACTCCTCAGAGATGACATCCAGTTCGCCACCCCTCCCTCGCGACACAGACAAATCGGAGTCCAGGCGAACACGGCACAAGTTTGTGGCCTCTGTCTGCAACCAGAGGATCAGAACCTCCATCCGGCGCCTGAGCTGAGCATCCAAGCCTAACATGCGGGGCACTCTGACCGACGTTGAACCAAAACTGTACTTACACGACTCACACGACGCTCCTCTTTTCGTCGTGTGGTGGTAGCGCTGTAACACGCCGCTCGGCGACGAAACAGGAACGGCTAGCCGGCCCCGTGGCGAATTCTGCACCCGGCCCGCTGTCGTTCGCCGTCCACCGATAAGGCAGATTTTGGGTGGTGAAGGTGGGAGAAAACGAAAACGTCATTCGAGCGGCCTTTGCCATGACCGGACGTTACTGCGCACACGCGAGTGCCACACAACATGCGTGGCACTCTAACCGACGTTGAACCAAAACTGCACTCACACGACGCTGCTATTTTCGTCGTGTGGTGGTAGCGCTGTAACACGCCGTTCGGCGGCGAAACGGGCTGGAACGGCTAGGGCGCATTCCGCACTCGCCACGCTCACAGCCTCCCCACAACGCGCCGGCTCAGCACTGGAAGCCTTGCGCCGTCAGGAGAAGCTCGTCGGCCGCCCCCACAGGGGCAAACTCCATTTCGCCGACCGCCTTGGCAAAAATGCTCAGGATCTCGTCGCGTGGCCTTGGACGGCATCCTCTCGAACTCGACGACCGTGTGCGGCCAACGACCAGAATGCCGAGATCATGCCTTTGACTCCGCTAGGCCGTCGAGGTCGAAGTCGTCGGGTGCCGCCCTCGGGGAGTCCAGTCTCAGTCTGTTTTATATGGAGGTGTAGGACCCTCCTACCTTACCGGTCGTCGGGTGAGTCGGGTGGTGGGTGGTCTCGTCCCAGTCGATCGACGACCACCACAACCGGGGCCGCCCTATCCAGCCGAAATCCGCTGCGCCGGTGGACACCGGCTCAAACCCGATCGCTTTCGACGCCGCGGCGGCGTCAGCCGGCATCTCGCCGCGTCCATGCTGAACCGGCGACTGCGTCGTCGTCCCCGTCACTTCGCCCGCCGTGATCACCCTGGCCGGGAATAGGCCATTCATGTGTGCCACCAGCTCAGCGGGTGACGGCGTCGTCGAGGGACCATGCATATATAGTGAGCACCGCCGCAACCTCCAAAATCGCTGTCCTGTCCTCCATAGCCATCTCCGCCACAAGCGCCATCCCAGCATGCCGCGAATTCCTTCAACGGCGAGATGATTGCCGCGGTCTGCCACCTTCGCGCTTGGGTGCTGCGGGGAAGCCTTGCGCGGCAGCGCCGCTGTCGTCGGGATGGATCCGGACATGGCATCGAGGAATGAGGACTTGGAGAAAGCTAGAACGTCGTTCGGGCCAGAGTGCCAGCGGCGTTCGCCGTTACCGCATGTTACTGCGGACACACGTGTGCTACACGACAAGACGTGACGGGAGCTGAGGTGCCCGCCCAGCGGGGCACTTTCCTCCGCGCCAGCTGCTTCGGCCCACCAGTTATAACCATATCACCGTCCTGCGGCTCATTCAGTTTTTCAGAGTCTTGGCGTCCTCAGCTCCCCAACGGCCTTGGGTGGCGGCTCGGGTGCAAACCTTCACGGCATCTCGAGACAAGAGTTCACCGCGGCATGCCGGAGCAAATGAACCAACGCATCACCCCTATGCTATCAGCATATCTGCTAACCAGTAGCTGCATTCAAAAGAGCATGCAAACGCCTCTCTGCGGCACAGTCGAACCAGGCCTGGGACCAGCTTCGAGCACGTGTCGTCTCCGACCCTTTGCCTCCCGAGCGGATTTTCTCTCATCCAGTGCTTCTCAAGGGGATTTCAGTTCTCCGGAAGAAGATGTAACAATCCTCGAACCAAATCTACCACACGCGCAAGGAGATATGGCAAGATGCAGCGCATTGGCGAACCAAGACAGGTTCCATAAGCGGCGTGAACCAAGCACGTGAGTAATGCTGGCCCACGAGAATTGCGCTCGGTCTTACAAAAAAGCTGACGGCTCGCGTGGGCGATCACTGGTGCATGTGCGCCGAGCCACAACCCGAATCACTGGGTTCCTCATTGCTCTGTCAAATTCCGTTTCCAGATGCCCGCCTGCGTGCACTTGTCGCTATCCACCGACGACGGAGCAAGTGCTTCTGCTGCGTGTTGCGTGCAATTGTCAGAACACTCGGCACAGCTTTCGACGTCGCTTCTGCCGCGTGCTTCCTTCTGTGTCCAAGCTTTCCAAGTAAACGCTGGCCTAGTGGCCTAGAATCTTGCCTTGCCCACCGTCGGAGAAGATGCTACCATAGCAACACCCTGCCAATGTTGTACGGATGATCTGAGGTACACACCGCTCCATTCTCAATCGTAGCCCTTCTGCGTTTCGCGGAGCACAAAACATGACTTCATGCCGGACAGACGCCTCACAACTCCCACTCCCTACACTTGAAACTGCTTCCATTAGTGTTTGTAGACAGCCAAGGTATGTAGGGCACTCTCGATGAATATCGCTCTTCTTCTTCGTCGGCCGAACTCAGGAGGGTCCGACCCGCCCACGCCACAGGCACGCCCGTGTTGGGTTCTAAGGGTGGGTTATGCACGGTCATGCTGCATGTTCTCCCATCGGCGCAGACTTCAGAAAGAGGCCACACAGCCAGAACAGGCTGATGTTTTCCGTACCCCAATCTCTCCCTAGCTGCATGGCCCTACCTGGAACCACCGACCCACCACGCATGACTTTTGGCCGAAGTGCAATGCAGAACTGCACTTCTCCATACAATCTCCGTCTTTCGCCCGGCGAAACTATCGTCTTCAACGCATGCCAGTGAGCGTTCCCAAACGCTGGGGTCTTGTGCGGAGCGACACTTGACGGTCCGGTCCAGTCTCCAAAACTGACATGCTGACAGTTGGTAGTGCGATACATGCTTCTCCTGTTGCGGGCTGCTCGAGATCCCCGGGTACTGGGCCCCCCAGATGTTAGGATGTGAAAAGCGATACGTACTGTCTTCATCTCTTTTCTTCCACACAGCAACAGGGCAACGCTCAGGCACTACCGCCGCGCAGCATGCGCACTTCTTCAGCTTTTGAGTCGCTTGCTCACACCAGCTAGTTGCTTGTCTGGGGGGGCGTGTGTGTGTGTGTGTGTCTGTGTGTGTGTGTGTGGGTATGTGCTTCTTTCTGCCTTCATTTCGAGTACCCACAGCTTCCACAATTGTCGCTGATTTGTTCCTACCCTCTTGCTTTGCTCTTGTTGTTGCCTCCGCGCTTGTCTCCTGCCTTCTGGACTAACGCCAGCGAGAGGGTAGTCACCATGGCACCCTGCTGCCATCGTCCTGTCTTTGCCTGAGCTGGCCGTTTTCATATACTGCATCCATTGCATCCTTCCAGTCTTCTCAAGGACTCTGAGGGACCGACGGACTGTGGCGCAGAACGTTGTGCGGCAAAGTGCCTTGCAAAGCTCACTGGACTGCAAACTCTCCCAGCGTGAAGCTACTACGAAATGCAACAACAACTTGGCGATGACTGTTCATTGCATCGCTGCTGGGCCATATTAGGGACCTTCCGGGTGAAAGCGAAGACTTCTGCACTGCTGCTCAGGTCGTTCATGTAGCTGTGGTCAAAGAGCCTGTTTGATTCGACAGGCGCTGCAGACATCGCAGCAGATGAACTCCACTGTCTCGCCGCCGGTTCTGATGTCGAATGTCGGGCGTCATGACTCCATGGCAGCTTACGCAACATTTGCGCAGCATAGCATGTCCGTCATCTCATGGTCAATGTCCGCATTCGCTCCGACCGTGCCACTTCAATCACAATGCAGCGGGCCGAAGGCGGAGGAGCAGAGCGTAGGGTCCATGGTGCAAGCTTTTGCATGTCGACTTCGGCGCGACCACCGCTGCCTCGACAGATCCTGATATTGGCGAAGGAACACACGACCAGTCTGGATGCTCGCAGAACACCAATGACAAAATTGCTATGCAGCTGGAGGCTCGCACGGGACATATCCATGTTCAGGTTGATCTGGCAAGATTTGGACCTGGTCCTGCGATGGACAGTCCGCCAGCACTTGTAGCACAGCAAGCTGTAGACTGCCAAACTAAGCTACTGGTAGGTACCTCCCGAACCATGACATCCCTGCGCCAGCGTGAAGCTTTCCCACTCGAAGTGTCGGATGCCGCCGGTAGTGCGCATGCCTCCGGTGAAGTTTGCATGCCATGCGGCGATGACCGAGCCGAGAAAAGCCATGAAAAGACCAAGCTTTGCCAGCCACTCCTGAAGACCCGGCGAAGCTTTGCCGAAGAGGTGAACGGCATTCTGCGTGGTCACTGCAGCTACCTGAGAACAGGAAATTACTGCGCAGCTCAATGCAAGCTGAAGTCAAGAACCAGCAGCACCAGCAGGTGGCCTCCTCAAGAGTCACACCCTTGAGCTCTGCCATCTTCTCTGCGGCAGCTCGAATCAAACCCGGTTCGTTTCGGGCCTGCAAAATCAAGGATGGCGGGAACGATACAGTAGCAAGAGCTTTCCGTCGCGAAGCCTTCGGCCCTGCAGCTGCAAGGCTTGGGCTGTCGGTCTCCAGGAGGAGGCGCTCCAAGGGCAAAGCTTTCACGGCTTCCTTTCCGACGACACCGGACTATACCGGACTGAAATTCGTCAAGCTGCTGCCCCAGCCTGGTATTCCCACTTGTAGACCAACGAGGGCGGAAAGGAAAACCACAAACGCCCGGTCTTGGTGGCTTGGACTGCCAAGGCTGCAGGCCCCTTAAACGCATGCATGACCTTGGTGCCAGATTGCTCGTTCCAATCAACTTGACTTGGGGCCAAATGACGCAGACAGCAAGGCAGACTGCCGGAACTTTCCCGGACACGGGGAGGACTTGTCAGGACTTGGGGATTTGCCATTCGGAAAGGCCAGATTCTTGCCACCATGCTGCTCCCCGCACATCACAACGAGTAAGAAGATCGATCGCCTCCTTCTCTGCGTTGCGCGAGTGCACCTCAGGTGCTCATTCAGCCTGTGCTCTTTTTTGTCTCCTCTGGTCTCACTGCGTTCGAGAAACGTTCACAGGCAGATCAAGCTCCCGAGCCAAGTCAAGGTGTGCCTAGGAGGATCTCCGCCGATTGTCACGCGGCTTCTTGCGTTCCGGTCGCACCTTGAAGAGACTGATCTGTCCGGCGCGAACATCTGCCTTCCCGACTGTGACTGTAGAGGTTTCAAGTTTCGGGTGCGGAACAAACGGTGCCCGGGACCTCTTTGCTACCTCTCGCGGCTGCCTTTTGCTTGAGCAGAGGGCGCGAGAAGTCCAAGCCGATCCTCAGGAATACTCGTGCCACCCCGGAACCCGGCGGAGGCTCAAAGTCGGTGGCATGGTCCCAAAACAGAGATTGGGACGTGTACAAAGCTGAACAAAGCTTCGCTTCAGTCGCGCCGAGCAGTGACTAGCATGGCAGCATGAAAGCCTACCAGACCTAGCCGGAGGTTCGTGCTCTCTGTCAAGTCGCTCTCCTAGAGCTGCAAGACCGCGCTGCCGATGTTCCGACATGATCATGTCTCCTAGCAAGGCGGCTTGTGTATCTGTTTTGCCACTTCGTGCGAGCTTTGCTGTCCGGGGCACGCGCCACATGCCAAGCCTGCATGTCGCAACCTGTAGAACGAGAACTGGAAGCGGCCAGCAGGTTTCTGAGCTGTTCTGCGAAGCTCTCCCGAACTCTGCCCAGTCGCTGTCATCCAAAGGGTGGATGCCCAAACAGGCATAGATCACTTGGGGGTGATCTTCTCGCAGCTGGATAACTCGCAGCATATCCGACGGTGAAGTGGAGCACACGAGAATGCCTGCTGCAGAACATGCTCAAGAAGCAAACCAAAGACTGACCGTGGCGAGAAATGTTGCTGGTCCTGACCAGCCTTGAACTCCAGCCCTTCGTGCTCTCGCAAGAACCTCCTTCAAGCAGGGAAACTACCCTCTACGACTCTACCATCACCTCAAGCAACTCCAGTTTAAACGATCAAACCGCCTCCAAGTCATCTTGGAACCGCTCGGAGGTCAGATGACAATGGCAGTCTATGAACATGCCCAGCTTGTTGGCCAGAACGCTTCCATGGCACCAAGGCGACAGTCGACACGACGTGCTGCTGCTCTGGAGATAGGCTGCAAAAAGCTTTCGCCAATGGCAGGTACCATTGGAAAGCGGCTAAAGTGTTGCTGGTGACTTCATGCAGTTCCCTCATGACAACCATGCTCGGACATGCTGCCGAGAAGGCTCGCACCATGTAAAGGCCGCAAACGATGCACTCAACAAATCCGGCACCGACTGTTTGCGGGGGGACAGTTTGATCCCCAAGCCTCAGAGGAAGCGCTTCCCTGGCCGGGTATAGGTTTGGTGCCTTCAGGTGCAGAGCAGCTGTCAGCGTCACATACTGCAGACCTTGTGCCAACTGCTGACATCGGTCTGAGGCCAAAGCCAGAAACGTTGTCTCCACCATTCTTATGACCAGATGCGGATCAAACTGCTTAAAACACCTGTCTGTACTAACTGTCACACGGTCAGCTGATTGGCAAACACGATCGGAGGGAATATGTCATGGTGCGAATTGTGGCTGGTAACAGAAGTTCGCGAGTCGTTCAGAAAGACTCGTATTTGCTCATGGGCAGCATGCTCTATGTGCGCCCATGATTGATCCAAGAAGTTGCCCGAAAGGACTGGATCTTGACAAGGCTCACTCGCATTCAGCAACTGTAGCGACCCATGCCGTTAAGATTTGTGAGCGGCAACTCTAAGGTCACCAAGACCATTTCTCCAGCGGGGACACTGGTGTCCTCGACGCTACAGAAAAAACCTCAGAGACAGAGGCACAGATGCTGCGACTCAGATCCCCTGGCCGTTGCCAGTGTTGTAGGAAATGATCTTCTTCCACTTGTTGCCGTCCGGGAAGACGATTCCGTCAGTGTCCCACTTTCCAACAACGCCAGCGGGTCCGCCCTTCTTGCTGAAGTCGATGGTAATCTCGTCTGAGCCTGCCTTCCAGTCGACCTTGGCCGTCCACCTGGTGAGCACCTTCTTCTCGCACCCAGGGTTGCCGTCACCTCCATCCACCATCATCTGTGCCTTCTCGTAGAGGTCATACTCGTAGACGATCTTTCGCGGGCACATTGGGTGCTGAGGGTCGCTGTAGTAGCCCATCCATTGGCCTGCTCCCTCGAATGCTTGCGCAGGCGCCGAGGACAGGGTCGCAGCTGCGCCTGCCAGGCCCAGCAAGGCCTCGCGCCGCCCCGCTGCCACGCGGCCTGGCACACAAAGGCTTCGAAGCACTGTGACACTGCAACATGGCAGCAATGACACTCGACAAAACAGCTTGGAGCCTTCTTCTGCCGGCGGCATCACCTTCCCAAAACTCGAATGATTCGGCAGCACACCACGACAGTAGAGAATCTGCAGCCCTCGAACCCCGGATGTCTTCAGACATGCGGCGAAGGCAGTGGTCAGGTAGCAAGCACCAAGAGCAGCGGCAACAGCCGCTGCAACAGGTCGCGACTTGCGCATGGACTGTCGGGCCTCGGCAGATCACAGCGAGTTGAAAGACACTAAACGTGCCGGAGCTTTGTATGAGCCGGTGAAAGAAAGCAGAGATCTTCGGAAGCATGACCATCTGCTTATCACAACTAACTGAACCAGCCAAGACACCATGATGAGCACAGCAAATGTCGCTGTCGATTTGAGGCTTAGAAACTGCAAGTTGTCGCGTATACATGCGCTCTACCAAGCCTTTCGAGTGTCAAGCTCTGCCAGATGCGACAGGAGGCACAAATCCCTTTTTGGATACCGGATTCAACTGCTGCTTTGGAGATAGGCTGCAAAAGCTTTCGCTAATGGCAGGTACCATTGGAAAGCGGCTAAAGTGTTGCTGGTGACTTCATGCAGTTCTCTCATGGTGCAACCATGCTCGGACATGCAGCCGACGAAGGCTCACACCATGTAAAGGCTGCAAACGATGCACTCAACAAATCCGGCACCGACTGTTTGCAGGGGACAGTTTGATCCCCAAGCCTCAGAGGAAGCGCTTCCCTGGCCGTGCCTTCAGGTGCAGAGCAGCTGTCAGCATCACATACTGCAGACCTTGTGCCAACTGCTGACGTCGGTCTGAGGCCAAAGCCAGAAACGTTGTCTCCACCATTCTTATGACCAGATGCGGATCAAACTGCTTAGAACACCTGTCTGTACTAACTGTCACACGGTCAGCTGATTGGCAAACACGATCGGAGGGAATATGTCATGGTGCGAATTGTGGCTGGCAACAGAAGTTCGTGAGTTCAGCAAGACTCGTATCTGCTCATGGGCAACATGCTCTATGTGCGCCCATGATTGATCCAAGAAGTTGCCCGAAAGGACTGGATCTTGATACGGCTCACTCACATTCAGCAACTGCAGCGACCCATGCCGTTTAAGGTCACCAAGACCATTTCTCCAGCGGGCACACCACGGTCTCAGATCACGTCAGGGAAGTTAAAGCTGCGTGATGCTTGCTCAGGGGCCCACAAAAACTGCAGACTGCAGACCAAGCAGTTCACGAGCAAATCATGCTGCGAGTACGGGAACATGAGAACACGGCGTATCATTATCACCATGGCACGGCGAAGCGACTTGCCTTACGCCGTGAAGCTCTGAGTCCGTCGAGAACCGAAGAAGCCAGGAAGTCCAGAAGACCAGGGCAGACCCGCGGCGCCTGCTCTGCTCTTGTACCATCCTGTACCTTGTCCTCCCCACTAGGCTTCGTCATCATCTCGTAGCTGTTCCAGAAGGGCTGCCGCCATCCTTGAAACTGCACAACTCCACAGCACTCCACCATACATCTTGCAATGCAAAAGTTTCTTCTGCACGCAAGCAGGCCGGCCAGCTGGCCATAAGATTGCAACCCAGAGGCAACCTCGCTCTTTCCATGTCCTGCGCGTGAAGACCATGCCCAACACTCAGACCCACTAAGAGCATACGTGTGCTGGGCAGCTGCCTCACTTGCAGGCCAATCGCCACAGTCATGGAAAGCCTCCTGTCATGCGTTCGTCTGTTGGAGCTTGTTGCACATGCACCTTTCGGCCTGTAGTGAGGGCGCCAAGATCTCCGCCATTGTATGATCACCTTTGTTCACAAACTATGAATGAACCATCGAAGCAGCAGCAGCAGCAGCAGCAGCGGCGGCGGCGGCGGCGGCGGCGGCGGCCGAAGGTGGTCGATTCATTTGCAAGTAGCTCGTCCCGGCAGGCTCTGCACATCTACAAGTGCCTGATGAGGGAAAAGCCTGATTGCAACTTGACACAGTTACAACAGCTTTTCGAAGCAAGGCGCAAGGCTTGCCATCAACGGAAAGCTCGGCCCACGTCATCGCTGCCAGGGAAATAGCCAAGCTGTCTACCTTACACTGCACAGCAACTCTTAATCCTCGGGCCTTGTTCTGAAGCAAGAGCACACCTTGAAGAAATGTCTTTAATCACGATACCTCTCGCAGTTGTGCATTTACCGCGGTCGTGGCCGTTCTGACCTTTGGTCCGGTGGCCGCGCGCTGGACATTAACTTGCTCCGTGCAGCCATCTACAAATGCGTCTTTGGAGACGACAACGCAGCACGTGGAGCTTCAAGGCAAACTCTGACAAAGGCGCAAGCTGCTTTGAGCTCAATTCCAGCATAACACTATCCTTTTGGATTGTGTTTTCTAAGCTGGACTGTCGTCTCATCTGGCCGGGACCTGTCTTGCTGGAGGTGTGGCTCTGCAGGCAAGAACTGCA